TTTCTCGTCTTTTGCTTGGGTTTAATTCAAAGAGTTCTGAATATGCTATCATGCATTATTAGATTTGGATTTAGATTCAAATTCAAGAATTTTCTCAGTGGAATAGTTCATTGAGATTCTGGACATGTATGTCCATTGAGGGGAGTTATTCCAGTGCTTCAATTTGAAATCATGTAAATCCGAGCTAAACCCACTAGACAATTTGTTGTCTCTGTGATCCAAGTACATTCTCTTTTAAGTTTAGAATAAATCATCATTCTCACTATAGAAGAAGGAACAAAAGCATTGATTATGAGATTCGGTAATGGCCACTAAAAAAAATGTTAAGATGATTAATATTTTATTTTTTTTGTTAAAATTTTTTTATCTTTATTTTTTTAATTATGCTCTCATATTCTCATCTTTTCTTAAATAAATAAAAAATTAGCTTTGCAAAATAAAAAATAAAATATTATTAATAGTCTTAACAATTTTCCTTATAGCCATAACTTGACCATTCTTAAGGCATATCAAAAATATAAATACCATGTTATCTGAAGAAATAGATAGAGTTAGATGGTTAGAAAGATAAAGGATTGAATAAATAGCTGTTAGGAACTTTGGATAATGGGGTTGGTGGTGTGCCACATGCCTTCAACGTGGTTTATTTAATTTATCTCTTACGCTAGTGACATTGACTTCTGACCAGCCAGCCATTATTGACTCTTTAAAGAAGTAGGGATATGCAAGAGCAGCCTTTGAAATTTCGTTGGCTCAGTATACACTATTCCTCGCAGCCGGTTGGTTGGCCTTCGTAATTATCATAAAATAAGATATGTTTTTTTTTTTTTTTTAAATATGTTTATAAGGTTGGGTTCGAATCGTTACCCGAAAACGTAACTCTGTTACAACTGGATCCGAATACGCAAGTGCAGATATATTTTTTAAGGCTGTATAAATAATATAAAATAAGTTAATCCTTTTCATAAGTGTATTTTATTGATATTTTATCTAAAAATATAAATTTTAACTTTTAATTAATTTTAATTAACTTCTTACATGCTTATTGTATTTATTAATTTTAATTAATATTTTATATTTTTAGATAATAAAAAATATCTTTATAATACGACATTAATAAATAAAATTATAATTAATATAATTAATTTGATTAATTCATGTTTTTTTTAAAATTAATTATGATATTTTAAAATATCAATTTATAATTTAACTTCTACCATTTAAGAAATAAAATATCAACTATTTAATTTTTTATTTTTAATAATAAATTAATCAAATAAATTTACTATTTTGTGTCACATAAAAAAAAATTATGTGAAAATAAAGCTTCGGGGGTAGTAGCCTTACCTAGTAAGGAAAATTACACAATAATTTCAAACTAATAACCTAATATATATGTCATATTATTAAATAAATTAATAAATATATATAACATTATAAATTTTAATAAAATAAAATAAATTAATTATTAAATAATATATATTTTTTTTATCAGGTAAATGGTTAAGAAATTAGTAAAGTTAGTTTGTTAGCAGTTGGAATTTTTTCAAGAAAGTGAACGTTTCACCCCCTTATTTGAGGCGTGCGACCATTAAATCGCAAGTTGGTGGAGTTCACGGTAGTAGCAGAACTCGAAGCCTTGACTTCCGCCTCACCTAAGCCCTAAAGTTTGGGACCAACCAATTGGACGACAGGTCCGGTTGGCATTAAATAATATATACTTTATTTTCTAATATTTTAAATGATTTAATTTATTCAATATCAATAATCATAAAATTTTGGCTTCTTTATCATCATTCAAAGCTGAATGGCAGATCACATTGGGGAGACTCACCCACTATGTTCACTATGTTTTAAAGATGTGGATGGATTAGTCGCGGCAAAGTCTTCGATACTGAACGGAAACTAAAAAAAAAAAAAAAAACCTTAATGGCAGATCACATTACCTACCAACCCACCCCTTCATGTGCTTATAACCCCACCTAAACCCAGTCACGGCGGAGTCACCGCACCCAACAACAATGCAAGTCAAAACCACTGAAACCGCTCTAGTCCTCCCCTCCCCGCAACCCTTCTCTGAAGACCACACTCTCCCTCTTTCCCACCTCGACAACGACCCCAACCTCCACGTAAGCTTCCGTTACTTCCGTGCTTATGCCAGCAACGCCGCCACCCATCACCACCCTTTCAACGTCACCGCCACCGTACTCGCCTCCGCTCTTCCTCACTACTACCCACTAGCCGCCACTCTCCGCCGCGCCAGCAACAACCGATTCGAGCTTTTTTGCCAGGCCGGTCAAGGTCTCCCCCTCATCAATGCCAGCGTGGACTGCACGTTAGAGTCCGTAAATTACCTGGATGACCCGGACCCGTATTTCGTCGAACAATTGGTACCGGATCCAACCCCAGAAGAGGCGCTTGTTAACCCGTGTATTTTACAGGTCACGGTGTTCAAATGTGGCGGCTACTGTCTTGGGGCGGCAATACATCACGCGTTGTGCGATGGACTCGGGGCGACTCAGTTCTTCAACGCGATGGCTGAGCTGGCGCGTGGATCGGATCCGGTGTCGGTGGAGCCGGTGTGGGATCGAGCACGCTTGTTGGGCCCACGCGATCCTCCCCGGGCGGAAGGCGCCGTCCGGGAGTTTTTGAGTCTGCAGAAAGGATTCGATCCGTACCGGCAGGAGATCGGCGGTGTTACGAGGGAGTGTTTCCAGGTAGAAGAGCAATTGTTGGACAGCTTCAAGGCTTTGTTGTTGGAAAAGTGTGGGGTCCGTTTCACCACGTTCGAGGCATTAGGCGCGTTCATCTGGCGAGCCAAGTAAGTGCTTGCTCTTTCTAAAATGTCAAGTTTAGTCGCTTAGCTTATAATTAGACTTCAATTGGTTCCTAACTATTTTCATTATTTAAGTAACACCCTTCTATGAGTTTTTCCATTTTTTACTTTTTTTTGATAGTGTATATAATTGATAGAATTTCTAGTTTTGTAGGGTGCGGCTATGAAATAAGAATGATTATATTAAAAATAATTCTCAGAATCAAGAGTTTTGTCTTTATCTAATGATTTAAATTATGCAAATTAAATTTTACAACACTTTTTGTTTGTAATAATATCCTTAAAAAGTGCTAAAGATTTTAATTTAACTTTCTTGTTTGGTGTAATTAACAGGGTTAAGGCCTCAAAGATTTCAGGAGATGAGACGGTGAAGTTTGCCTATGCATTGAACATCCGGAAACTAATTAAGCCCCCACTACCCAGTGGCTATTGGGGCAATGGTTGCATTCCAATGTATGCACAGCTTACCGCTAAAGAATTGGTGGAGCAACCTATCTGGAAAACGGCCGAGGTAATCAAGAAGAGCAAAGCGAACGCCAACGACGACTATTTTCGTTCCTTCATCGATTTTTACGAGCTGCATTACGGGGAAGGCATCACGGCTGGAAAGGAAGTGAGTGGATTCACGGATTGGAGGCACTTGGGACATTCCACAGTGGACTTTGGCTGGGGAGGTCCGGTGACCGTGATGCCACTTTCGAGGAACCTGCTGGGTAGCATGGAGCCATGCTTTTTCTTGCCGTTTTCTTCGGCAAAAGGAGAGAATAAGGATGGGTTTAAAGTGTTGGTGACATTGCGTGAGAGTGCCATGCCTGGTTTCAAGGAAGACATGGATAAATTCAGGAGCAAACAATTTGAGCTGTGATTCTGCCATTCCACGGTCTAGAGATGTTATGGTACCAATTGAAGAATTTCTGACATAAAAATAATTTGCACTTCTCTACAAATTTCAGTCTGTTTCGCTTCCACGAAGAGGGGACGATGCATATATATGTAGAATAACTTGATTATGCCTTATTTATAATGCCTTATTTATATCTACCCCAATCTTGAGGAAACTACTCAATAATCGACCTTAAATTGCTTTCTTGGTTTACTGATCAAGCATAAGGGTATTTGACTTTATATTGAAAGTTTAATTCCCAGCTAAGAATTAAAAATACCTCAAGTCCCAATGGCTCAAGTTTTAAAACAAAAACACACAAAGAAGGATTATAAATGGAACAATAAGTAGGGACAAGCAACTGATGAGTATACTCTAATATTTGTGGGAAGGTACTTTACTCGTGTTTAAAGAGAAATTGTTAACTAATAAGTATGAAAGAACTTATTTGCCAAGTATCAAGTAGGTGACCAGTATAAGGGCCTCTTACTCACTACTAAAACTCTAATTTTCAGCAACATGGTAGCATGTCATGAAAGTGTTTCCCATGTTGCTGAAAATAGTTTAGTAACACATTTCTTATTGTTGATGTTTTTGTTGGAGAAGTTTTACTCGGTAATATATTACCAACAAGCTTCATGTTGCTAATTCATGATGCCCTTTTTAGCCACATAAGCCATGTCGATGAAAGCATGATTTCACTGACATGACTTAAGTTGCTAAAAATGATTATCGAAACCAGTTACCGAAATTGTGCATCCTTTTCAGCAATATAACCTATGTCAAGGAAAGTATGATTTCACCGATATGGCTTATGTTATTAAAAATGTCACCGAAACCAGTCACCAGAATTGTGCACCATTTTCAGCAACATATCCCTTATTGTTGATTATCTTTTAAATAGTAACATCACTCCATTTCAATAACATATTTCTTGTTGTTGATTATCCTGTGAATAGTACAACACCTTATTTTTAGTAACATATTCCTTATTGCTGATTATCTTTTGAATAATACAATTGTGCATGCCTCCCACCCATTAGCAACATGTTTCACGTCGGTGATGCTCTAAAATGCTATTTTCCCAATGATTTTACTGACAAGAGGTATGTTGCTATATTATTTTACCTTATAAAAAAAATTATAAGTTCATAAATTTGCTCTACCAATATTATAGACACATATTCCTCAGTCACACTAACATTTTAAAAAAATAATTAAATTAATTTTATACTATCATTATAAAATTTAACAATAATGAATTATTTAATTGTAAAATTCATTTTTTGTAATTATAATCACCAAATACTAAATCCCATGATGTCTTATATACAATATAATAAATTGTACCTAAAAAAATAATTATAACTGGATAATTAATATTTATTTTTACCATCTATAAACTATTAGCTAAATACATTTAAAGTAAACATCTCAAGCCAATTAATGTCAGTTTAGGGAGCTTACCGAACTTGAATTTTTAACTTTAATGAGAATTACCTACAAAACAAATAAAATACCAAAGTGTTT